ACAGGAAGGAAGGCCTAACTAGGGTAGGTACAGTACTAGCATGATGGTAGTAGGGTAGTGGTAGTGTAGCGTACTGTACTACAGTATAGTCATGGAGATATAGAGATAGAGAGAGAGAGACAGACATCAAGGTCAGTCTATATTCTTTGCAGAAACTGCGTCTCCGGCACTCACCAACCGTCCAGGGCGACGCCAGGGGTCATGGGGCGTCGCCCCGACCACAAAAAGCGACCGTTCTGCACCTATACGCAGCGCATGGCTGGCGCGTATACGCGCGTATTCGTACGTAGGCGGTCCTTTTTCGAGGATATTGTGCCGAGATCGTCGAGTTAGAAAGAGCTTGCTTCACGCGAGCGTAGCCACCGGACCTCTCCCGGCGCATGCAAAAAAGCGTGACTTTAGACGCCGCCGTCGCGCGACGCTGCCGACGTTGCCGGAGCAACCCCCCCCATGGTGAAGTGTTGTGGCGGCTCATCGCGCGCTGAGCGCCGTCGCTTGCGCCGCCGCGTCGCGCCGCGGCGCCCGTAACGCTTGACGATGCGCCTCCGCTGCCTCCTCGCGCTCGCCATCACATCAACTGCGGAGGAGATCGCGCCGGAGCTGCTGAAGGACCCCGAGCCCGCCCCGGCCGCCGACCACAGCATCGAGGCGCACCTCAAGGCCGCGGCGCCGGAGCCCCCGGCCGCCGAGTCGCCGGCGCGGGCCCTGGAGCGGCTCGTGGCCCGGGGCCGCTTCGGCGAGGCGGCGACGCTGGCCAAGGCCGGCGGCGCGGGCCTCGCGGCGGCGCTCGAGGCCGGCGTCGCGAGTTACACGGCGGCGCTCGACGCCGTGCGCGCGGCGGCGGCGGGCCCGCGCGCGTCGGCCCCCGTCGCGAACAGCGGCGCCGTCGGCGGCGCCGTCGTCGTCACGCCGGCCTTCCGCTGGGCGCAGAACGCGAGCCACCTCTTCGTCGAGGTCCGCTTCGCGCACTCGCTGACCGCGCCCGCGAACACGGACGCGTACGTCGAGTCGGCGACCGTCCAGGCGCGGTCCTGCGCCCTGGACGCCGCGACGAAGCACGCCAGCGGCAAGCGCTGGGCCCTGCGCCTCGAGGAGCTCTGGGACGAGCTCGACGCGGCGGCGAGCGACACCGCGGCCGCGGCGTCCGCGGGGCGCGCGGTCATCTACCTGGGCAAGCGCCACGTCGGCGTCAAGTGGCCGCGCCTCGTCGCCTGCGGCGTCAAGGCGCCGGCCCACAGCGCCATGTGGATGGACATGCAGCAGGCCCTGGGCCTCGACTACTTCCCGGGGGAGACGGCCGACGACGCGTGCGAGGGCGTCGAGCCCGCGGCGCGGGCGACGACGACGACGACGGAGGCCGAGGCCGACGCGGCCTTCGAGGACTTCCTCGACGACGCCCTCGCCGACGACGCGCCGGCGGCGCCCGCGACGACGACGGCCGCGCCGAAGAAGAAGAAGAAGGCGTCGCCCGAGGAGCGGGCCGCGCGCGCGGCCGTCAAGGCCCTCAAGAAGAACGCGACGAAGGCGCGCAAGGCCGTCGCCGAGGACGTCGCCAGGCGCCGCAAGGCCGTCGAGGCGGACCTGCGCGCCGCGAACCTCAAGCTCCGCGAGGACCACGACGCGCGGGCCATGTTCGTGGATCACGCGCCAGCGTGGGTGCCCGCGTGGCTGCCGCGGCGCCTGCTCGTGCGCGACGGCGTCTGGACGCTCTTCCTCAACGTGGCCCGCGCGCGGCGCGACGAGGCGCACAAGGCCGCGCTCCACGCCAAGCTCACGAAGTTCGGCGCGGCGTCGGCGTCGGCCGCGGCGGCCGTCGCCGGCGCCGCGCTCCTCAGCGGCGCGGGCGCGGACGTCGCGCTCCTCGCGGTCGTCGTCGCCGCCGTCTTCGTCGCCGCCGTCGCCGTGCTCCTGCGCGCGCTCCACGCCGCGGCGTAGGTCTACGTAACGGCGGCCTTACCCGCGGCGGGGGGACGCGGCGCGGGCCTAGAGGGACTCGTCGGCGGGGATGGCCGCGTAGGTCCCGGGCGCCGCCGCCGCCTTGCGCCCCGCGGCGACGGCGACGAACGCCGCGGCGACGACGAGGAGGCCCGCGGCGGCGGCGCCGCCCGAGAGCCCCGCGACGCCGCCGTCGAGCGCCGCGAGCATGGGCGCGCCGTTCGCGTCCGACGACGCGTCGTCCGGGTCCGTCGACGGGTCCGCGGACGCCGTCGTCGCCAGCGCCGGCGCCGCGAGGATCGCGATCGCGCGCGGCGCCGCGGCCTTGACGAAGACCTCGAGGTCCTTCTTCGGGTGGGACACGCCCGTGAGCGCCGCGCGGTAGACGGCGCCGTCGGCGTCGTCGGTCACGTAGATCATCTCGTCCGCGGCCGCGATGGAGTTGGGCGAGTCGAGGGCCGTGAGCACGTCCGTCGACGCGAACGTGTCGAGGTCGAGCGACCGGACCGCGGCGACGCCGGTCCCGGCGGCCTCGACGTAGTACAAATTCTCGCCCGTCTCGGCGACGAGGAGCGACCGCGGGCCCGTGAGGCCGTCGACGAGCGTCTCGCCGTCGGCCGCGGCCGCGGGGAGCAGCTCGAGCTTGAACCGCTTGACGTCGCCGCCCGTGTTCTCGGACACGTAGAGGTAGTTGTCGTCGACGGCGACGCCCACGGGGCCGTCGAGGCCCGTGACGACGGCCGTGACGCCGTTTGTCGCGTTCGACAGGTCGCCGCGCATGACGTTGCCCTTGCCCTTGTCGGCGACGTAGACGTGCGACCCCTCGACGACGAAGTCGTGCGGCTCGCCGAAGCCGCCGAAGACGACGGACGCCGACGCGTTCTTGGAGGCGTCGCCCTGGACGGCGAGCTTGGACAGCGTGTTGTAGACGCGGTCCGTGAAGTAGAGGTCGTCGCCCGAGAAGGCGACGTAGGAGATCTTCCCGTCGCCGGGGAACACCGTCGCCACCTGGGAGCCGTCGTCCGCCGGGGAGCTCGTGATCTTCCCGTCGTCGTTCGAGTAGTACACGACGGCGCTGTCCTGCACGGCCGACGCCGCGCCCAGCAGCGCGCAGGCGAGGAGGCCCCGGGCTGCCATCGTCGCACTGGAATTACGACACCCAAAGTCGTTGCCGAGGCAAGATGGGCCAGCGCCGGCTCGGAAGCGCTCAACCGTGTCGTCTCGGGCGTGCGCCGCTGTGCCGGCAAAAATTTAGCCGCCGCCGACGCGGACGCGTCCTCTAAACGCGTCGACCACTCCGCGCCGCGCCCGCGCCGCAACCCTACCCTTCCAACCGCGGCGCCGCGCCGCGCGCCGCCGCGGCCGCGCCGGCGCCGGCCCCAACGGCGGTGAGACCATGGGAGGGGAGGACAAGTACGACCAGCCCATGTGGAGCGCGGTGCTCGCGGGGACCATCGGCGGCGGCGTCGCCGTCGTCGTGGGCTACCCCTTCGAGACGGTCAAGGTGCGGCTCCAGACGGGCACGACGCGCCACCTCTTCCGCGACCTCTTCTCGGGCGTGACGGCGCCGCTGACGACGGTGACGCCGGCCTGGGCCATCATGTACGCGGCCTACTACGGCGCCCAGAGCTGGCTCGCCACCAAGGCCCACTGGGAGCTCTCGCCCGTGGCCAAGGGCGCGGTCTCGGGCGCGCTCTGCGGCTTCGCGACGGCGGCCGTCACCGTGCCCACGGACGTCGTCAAGATCAACGCGCAGCGCATGCACTGCAGCGCGCCCGAGGCCTTCCGCAAGCTCCTGAGCAAGGGCGGCCCGGGCTTCCTCGTCCACGGCGGCGTCGCGACGGCCGTGCACCTCACGGCGTCGCAGGCGATCTTCTTCGGGACCTACGAGTACGCGCTCAGCCGGCTGGCGTCCCGCGCGGCGCCGGCGGCGCCGGCGGCGCCCGTGCCCCGGGTCGACTACGCGCCGGCCATCGCCGGCGGCCTCTCCGGCGTCATGGAGTGGACGTGCTGCATGTCGTCCGACTCGGTGAAGACCCGCTACCAGTCCGGGCCCATGGGCGCGTCCTACGTCGGCGTCTGGCGCTCCGTCTACGCCACCGAGGGGCCCCGGGGCTTCTACCGGGGCTACGCGCCCGTCATCCTCCGCGCCGTGCCCGTGAACGCGTCCACGTTCTTCGTCATCGAGTACGTCAACGACGCGATCCGCCGCCACCTCGTCGAGGAGAAGCGGCGCAACACGACGCGGCCCGCGCCGGCGGCCGCGCCCGCCGTCGGCGGGCGCAGCGAGCTGTCCTGAGAGAGGGCCAATTTAACCACCCGTCGCGCCGCGAGAATTTGTGTCGCGCCCGCCGTCGCGCGGTCTCGCGACGTCGCGCGCGCCGGCCCGTCGGGCTCGCGAGGCCCCCGGGCGACCCTCCAATGGCCGGGAGGGCTGTGGAACGCGGGCTCGTCGCGCGTCTCCGGGTCGCTGCGGAACCTGGGGACGCGAGCCGCGCAGATTGACGTCTCATTGAACCTCAACATTGCAAAAAGACAAATCAAGGCCTCGGAGCATCGCCGCTTCTGCAGCACCGAGGTGAGCTGCGCGCCGCCCACCCACCGCCCCGCCCGTCGCCGAAAAGCCCCGAAAGGCATCATAGAGAGACCTAATGGCACCACGCGCGCCGCGACGCCGCGCGCCGCGCAACACAACACCCCCCCCCGCCCAGGTTTACCTTCTGACCATGGAGATCATCGACGATTCGACGCCCATGCCCATGGCCGAGACGCGGTCCTGCCGCATCTGCGGCATCGTGGGCCACCTGGCGCGCAACTGCCCGTCGGCGCCCGCGGAGACGCGGACGTGCCGCGTGTGCGGCGCCGTCGGGCACATCGCGCGCAACTGCCCGGACCAGGACGGCGCCCAGGCCCGCCAGGACTCGCGGCGCTGCCACGTCTGCGGCGAGGTCGGCCACATCGCCCGCAACTGCCCCAACGCGACCGCCGACACCGCGGTGCCCGAGGGCGGCCGCCGCAAGAAGGGCGGCGTCGCGGGCCGGCGCTGCTTCAACTGCGGCAAGACGGGCCACCTCAGCGCCGACTGCGACCTCCCCGCGGGCAACATGGCCTGCTACAACTGCGGCGAGATCGGCCACAAGTCCGCGGACTGCCCGAACTAGGCCCGCGGGGAGCGAAGCGCGCGGCGCTCGAGCTGAAGTAAGCCGGCTGGGAAGCGGCCACCGGGCGCCCGAGACGCGCGGCGCTCTAGCTGAAGTAAGCCGGCTGGGAAGCGGGCGCCCTAGACGACGTCGCCCGCGCGGATGGGGTTCTCCCACGACGGCCGGGGGGGCTCCTCGCGGGACGAGCGGCGGAACGCGGCGCCGAGGTTGCGCCGCGCGGAGCGGCCCGGGAGCCGGTCCGGCCGGCCGACGGGCGCCATCTCGACCTCGGAGTCGTCGTAGCGGCCGCGGGCCGACGGCGGCGTGCGCTGGCGCGCGGCGTCGCCCGCGCGCGCCGCGTCCCACATCTGCTGCGCGCGCTCCTGGCGCTCGAGCCGCGCGCGGGCCTTGGAGCTGTAGGACCAGCCGCCGGCGACGACGGCGACGAGGACGACAAAGCCCCCGGCGACGAGGAGAATGTCCTCGACGGACGTGCCGGAGGAATCGCCGTCGCCGCCGCCGCCGCCGTCCGAGTCCGCCGGCGGCGCGTCGCGCGACCCGAGGTCGGCCCGGTCGAGCGCCGCGGTCGACCGCGCGACGAGCGCGAGGGTCGCGGCGTCCTCGACGACGCACTGGGACCAGGGCTCGGCCGTCGCCGCGGCTTCGAAGGCGCGGCGGAGGCCGCCGCCGGTCGCCGCCGCCGTCGCCGCGGCGACGAAGTCCGCGAGCACGGCGTCGACGGCGCCGTCGGCCACCACGGCGCTAACGGCCGCGTCGTAGGAGACGACGACGACGTTCGATTCGTTGCGCGCGCCGACGACGGAGACCGCGAGCGGAGCGGTCTTGTTCGCGGGCGCGTGCGCTCCGAGGAGCGGCGCGATCGCGGCCTCGACGACCGCGCCGAAGAAGTGGCTCCGCGGGTCGACCGCGGCGTCGTCGGCGACCGCGGGCGACACGCAGGCCATGGCGAGGCTCGAGCCGATCCACACGTCGCCGACGCGCGTCGGCGAGACCTGTGTGGAAATCAACCACTGGTTTGGGGGGTCCCCACCAAACTTCAGAACTCTCTATCTCGATCAAATCGAAGTCGATTCGGCTGACTTTTGGACGAATCGATTGCTCTCGTCGAGTTCTCGAAGCATAGCCGAAAAGTCCGGCGCACTCCGTTCAATTACGCGCATATTGAAGTCTGGTTGAAGATTTGATTTCCACACAGGGCGAGACCGTCGGCGCGCTCGTCGTCGGCGCGAGCGTCGGCGCGCGCGTCGGCGCGGCGGTCCGGTTGTGCGTCGGCGCGACGGTCGGCGTAGAGGTCGTCGGCGACGTCGAGGGGGGCGCGCTCGTGGGCGCGCTCGTCGTCGGTGGCGACGAGGGCTCGCGATCCGTCGGCGCCGCCGTCGTCGGCGCGGCCGTCGTCGGCGCGGCCGCGGGCTCGCCGGTCGTCGGCGCGGGGATCATCGCCGTCGGCGCCGCCGACGGTTCCGCGTCCGCGGCCGGCGCCGCCGACGGCGCCGCCGACGGCGGCGCGGTCGCGGCGTCGGTCGGGCTCGCCGTCACGGCGGCGCTCGGTCGGGGACTTGGTTCCTTCGTCGCAGGCGTCACCGTCGGCGCCGAGGACGCGTCGTCGGCGGCCGCGAGCGCAGAGAGCGCCGCGGCGAAAATCGCGAGGCGTCGGCCGAGCATCCTCGAATGAACCTCTCCACAGCGAGAGTGAAGCTACTGAGAAACTGCACCCTGAAATTCAGGCTGAAACTCAGCCCGTCCGTGATTCGGCGTGAACGGGGAACGGCCCATAGGTCGGAACGTCCGCACCATCGCCACGCGGGGACCCCTTGTTAGGCACCGCGCGCGTCAGTTGCGGTTGCCGCCCATGTCCACGGAGAGGCCCGCCGCGGTGACGCGCTGGTCCTGGTCGGCCATGGCGCGCTCGAGCTTCTCGAGGAGGTGCTCGCGGTACTTGTCGAAGGGCTCGCCCCACTCGACGCACTGGCGGTTCTCGACGACCCAGAGGCGCATGTTCGTCGCCTCGATGAGCCGCGCGTCGTGCGTGACGCAGATGACGCCGCCGTCGTAGCCGTTGATCGCGTCGCAGAGCGCGTCGATGGTCTCGATGTCGAGGTTGTTCGTGGGCTCGTCGAGGAGGAGCATGTGGGGCGCGGCGAGGGACAGCTCGCAGAGGACGACGCGCGCCTTCTGGCCGCCGGAGAGGTCGCGCATCGCGATCGTGTGCGCGTGGCCCTGGAGGCCGTAGCGGCCGAGCATGTTGCGCACGGACTGGTAGGTCTCGTCGTTGAAGAGGCGCCGCAGGTAGTCCACGGGCGACTCGTCCATGGGCAGCCGCTCGACGAAGTGCTGGTTGTAGACGCCGATGCGGAGCCGCGGGTTCCGCTTGATCTCGCCCTCGGTCGCCGCGAGCTTGCCCGTGAGCAGGTGCAGGAGCGTCGTCTTGCCGCTCCCGTTGTTGCCGACGATGCAGACGCGTGAGTCCTGGTCGATGCCGAAGTTCATGTCGTTGAAGATGTGGGGCAGGTCCGGCGCGTACCGAAAGTGCGCGTCCATGACCTGGAGCACGGGCGGCGACAGCTTCGTCACGGGCGGGAACTCCATCTCCACGAGGTACTCCTTGGGCTTCTCGATGAGGGCCGCGACGTCCGCCGTGTCCTGGCCCGCGGCGATGGCCTGGGCCTTCTTGGACCGCGCGCCGGGCTCGCGCTTCGCCTTCGCGGCCTTCATCACGAGCTCCTCGGCCTTGGCCTTGGAGTTCGACTTGCCCTTGAGCGCGCGGAGCTGCTTCTCCTGCTTCTCCCAGGCCTTGAGCTGCGCCGCGCGCTTCTGCTGCTCCAGGGTCTTGAACGTGTCGTAGTTGCCCCGGTAGTGGTCGAGCGTCCGCTCCTCGCTAATGTGGAGCATCTCGTCGCAGACGCTGTTGAGGAAGTCCTGGTCGTGGGACACGACGAGGATCGTGTGCTTGTACTTTTGGAGGTAGTCGTCGAGCCAGATGACGGCGTTGAGGTCCAGGTGGTTCGTCGGCTCGTCGAGCATGAGCAGCACGGGCTCCATGAACAACGCGCGCGCGAGCGAGATGCGCATGCGCCAGCCGCCGCTGAAGAGCTTCGTCGCGCGCTGCTGCATCTCCGCCGAGAAGCCGAGGCCGAAGAGGATGCGCCGCGCCTTGGACTCGGCCGCGTGGGCGCCGATGGCCAGCAGCTCCGAGCCGACGGCGGAGAGGCGCTCGGACGTCGCCTGCTGGTCCTCCGCGGCGAGGCCGCCGGCCTCGAGCTTCGCCGCGAGGGCCTTCTCCTCGGCGAGGAGCGCGCTCCGCTCCGCGTCGGCGCGGACGACGGCGTCGACGGCGCAGGTGTCGTCGGCCTGGACCTCCTGCTCGACGTAGAGGCACTGCACGCGCGGCGGCGTCTTGAGGTCGCCGGACGCGATCATCTTCAGCAGCGTCGTCTTGCCGCGGCCGTTGGGGCCGACGATGCCGTAGCGCTTGCCGTGGGCGATGAGCAGGCTCGCGTCCTGGAAGAGGGTCTTGCCCGCGGCGGAGATCGTGAAGCTGTCGATCTTGACGTCGAGCGCGTTCTGCCACGCGGCGTCGTTCTCGTTGATCGCGCTCTGCGAGCACGCGAACTGGGCGCCCTCGAGGGACGCGAGCTCCTTGGCCTTGAGCTCCTCGGCCTCGCGCTTCCGGGACGCGTAGTCCTTCTCGAGCTTGCGCTTCGCCTTGGAGCTCAGCGGCTTGCCGCCGTTCGCCGCGACCGCGCGCTCGAGGCAGATGTCGAACGTCGCCTCGACGACGGGCCCGGCGTTGGGGCCGAGCTTGTCGTTGGAGTCGTCGCGCCAGACGCCGTCGTCCTTGGACAGGAGGCCGCCGGCCATGAGCGCCGCCTTCTCCGCGTCGACGTCCGCCTCGCGCTCCGCGGCCCTGGCCCGCTCGGCCGCCGCGAGCTCCGCGAGGCGCGCCTCGTACTTCTTGATCTTCTCCGCGTACTTGGTTGTGTCCTCGCCCTTCTTGACGGCCTTGGCGAGCTTCTTCTCGTACTTGTCGAGGCGCTCCCGGAGCTCGCCCGCGTCGCCGCCGGCGCCGTCGTCGTCGTCCTCGGCCGCGGCCATGGCCGCCGCGAAGGCGCTCGGCGCCGCGGGGGGCGCGGCCCCCGAGTCCGCCGCGGCGGCGGCGGCGCCGAAGGCCGACTTCTTCTTCTTCTTGCCGCCGAACATCGCGTTGACGTCCGCCGGCGCCGTCTCGTGCGGCCTCGGGCTCCGGCGCCTCGTCGCCGCCCTTGGACTTGAGCTTGCGCCGCTCGGCCTTGCTCATCTTCTTCTTGCCCTCCTGCTTCGGCGGCTCCGGCGGCGCCTCGGGCTCCGGCTCGGGCTCCGGCTCCGGCTCGGGCTCGGGCGCCGGCTCCGCCGCCTCCGCCTCCTCCTCGGACTCGTCGTCGGCGGCCATGGCGGCCATCGCCGCGGCCTTGCGCTGCGCCTTCTTGTCCTTCTTGCGGCCGCCGCTCGGCGCCGGCGCGGCGACCTCCTCCGCGGGCTCCTCCTCCTCCTCATCGGACTCGTCGGCGGCCATGGCGGCCATCGCCGCGGCCTTGCGCTGCGCCTTCTTGTCCTTCTTGCGGCTGCTCGCCGCGGGCAGCGGCGCGGGCGCGTCCTCCTCCTCGTCGTCGTCGTCGGCCTCGGCCTCCGGCTCGGCCGCCGCCTTCGCGAGCGGGTCCTCGTCCTCGCCGTCGGACTCGGCGGCCTTGCCGCCCTTCTTCGCCTTCTTCTGCTTGCGCAGCTCCGCGCGGCTCGGCTTCTTCGGCGCGCCGTCGTCCGCCGGCGCCGGCGCGGGCTCGTCCTCGTCGGTGCTGTCGCCGCGGTTCTTGCCCTTCTTCTTCGCCTTGCGCTCCTGCGCCTTCGTGAGCTGCTTCGCCGGCTCCGGCGCCGGCGGCTCGTCGTCGTCGGACTCGGCGCCCTTCTTGCCCTTGCCCTTCTTCTTGTTCCCCTTCTTCGTCGCCATGCCCGCGGGCTCGTCGTCGCCGTCGCCGCCCGCGGCGGCCATGGCCGCCTTGATGGGATCGACGTAGTCGTCGTCGTCGTCCGACTCCTGGCCGCGCTTCCCTTTCTTGCCCTTGGCCTTGCCCATGGTGAGGCTCGACGGCGCGCGCGCGTAAGCCGACGCGGGAGTCGAGGCTCTCCTCAAACGCGCAATGGCGATGATTCGATGTTGCTTGAACTTCACCTTGCCTCGGAGGAGCAGCCCATCGTTGCTTCGTTCGATCGCAGCCCGACCCAGCGTGCGCGTCCGCAACGCGATGATGCTTGAACTTCACCTTGCCTCGTAGGAGCAGCCCATCGTTGCTTCGTTCGATCGCAGCCCGACCCAGCGTGCGCGTCCGTAACGCGCTGCGAACGCGCTTCGGCAATGATGACGCCGGACCCCGACAGCCCGACGCCCTCGGCGGCGACCGCCTCGGAGCCCGGCACGCCGTCGGAGTCGCCGTCGGAGCAGCGACGGTCGCTGGCGCTGGCGGCGGCGCTCCGGGACGGGCTGCGCGACGGCTTCCTGGATCCCGCGCCGCAGAATCAGCTCATGCGCACGGGCGCCGCTGGCAGCTCCCGCAGCCCTGCGCCGCCGACCGGCCGGCGGCGGCGGCGCCCGCGGGCCGGAGCCGCGCGTCCCTCTTCGGCTGCTTCGACAAGATGTAGCCGGGTGTAGATGCGTGTTATTCCACGATGTCGCCGTGTGTGAATGCTTTTTACTCGGGCGCTCGGGCGGCTCCCCAGGCGGCGCGCGCCTATAGGGCGGGGGGCCTCCGGCGGCGCGAGGGGCGGGCGTCCGCGCGGTGGAGGCGGGCGCGTCGCGCAGCGTTGAGCACTTCGTTGCTGCGTCCGCGGTGGCCGCGTCGGGGTCGGTCCTAGACCGCGGCCGTCGACCCGTCGACGTCGACGGCCGCCGTGGCGGGGCCCGTCATGTCCTCGCCGTTTTTCGCGCGGAACGCCTTCACGGCCATCATCGTGCCGTAGGAGCCGCCTGCGCCGAATTCAAATCTTCAACTCGACTTCGATGTGAGCGTACGCGACAGTTTCGACGCAATCTCTTCGGCTGTGCTTCGAGAAATCGACGAGAGCAATCGATTCGTCCAAAAATCAGCCGAATCGACTTCGATTCGACCGAGCTCGAGAATTCCGAAGTTCGGTCAGGACCGCCCGTACCAGTGGTTGAATTCGGCACGGGGAGCCGCCCATCATGCCGCGGATGTGCTTCTCCTTGACGCGGATGGCCGTGTCGTACTGGTTCTGGAGCGTCCACATCTTGCCGCCGTAGTCCGCGCCGATGTTGTGCATCTTCTCCTCGATCTTCTCCGTCGCGATCTCGAGCTCCTCCTCGTCCATCGTCACGTACCGCGCGAGGTTGATCTCCTGCTCCGTGGAGCAGTACTCCTTGTGCGCCGGCGAGCACTGCTTCTTCATGCGGTAGGTCACGAAGCCCTTGAGCGAGTCCCAGGACCGGCCGTCCTCGTAGACCTGGAGCTCGTCGGCGGCGCCGAACATGAGCGTCGGCAGGCTCTCGACCTGGTACTTCTCGCAGAGCGACGCGCCGTCGTGCTGGCAGTCCACCTGGGCGATGAGTTTGTCATCGTCGCCCGCGAACTCCTTGTAGAGGCTCCCCCAGTTCGGGTCGAGCACCTTGCCTGCGCGCGGCGCCGCGGTGTCGCGACGGTTTCGCGGCGCGCGCGGCGGGGACGCCGCGCGGCGCACAGGCCGTGAGCCAGGAGGCGCAGAAGTTGATGAAGCACGTCTTGTTCGCCGTCAGCTCGTCGAAGGTCTCCAGCGTGAGCATGGTCACGTTCGCCGGCGGCGCCATCCAGATCATGTCCTCGAAGGTCTTGGGAAAGGGCCGCTTCTCGACGACCTCCTCGTCCTCGAACTCGAGCTCCTCGCACCGCGCCAGCCCGAGGGCGGCGGCGCCGAGCAGGAACCGGCGCAGCATGCCCACTTTCTGAGTCGGCAGCCCCGGACCACCTCTCGTTTGTGATTGTTCCTCCACGCGGCGGTGCCCCACAAAGATACTGAAGTGCAGGTTTGTATTGTATCCTCGAGGGCTGCAATAACGTCGTGATTGGGATATGTTGGCCCGGATGAAGTACGCAACGTTCGTCACAATCTCTAGGCTTACACTAGCCTAGGCAGGAGCCGGACCTTGTAATGGCTGTTGGTAAACTCGGGCGCGGCCACGGCGACGGGCGGGGCATCCAGAGCGTACGCGTCTAAGGTGCCTACGATGGTCGCGCAGCGTCGCAAACGCAAGGAACCCGCCGCTGCGCTCGGAGACGACGATGTGCGCGAAGGAACGGTCGTAACGGTCGACACGGCGAAGTGCAAGGGGTTGCACTCGAAGCCGGACGGCCCGTGGCCCGTCGAAAACGCCCGGCACGTCGACGTGACCGTCCCCTTCAATATTTCTAGACCAACTTTGCTTTTGCCACAGCGTTGATGTAGAGTGATGGTGCGCGCGTAGAGGCACGCACCAAAGCATCCCGTCGACGCTGTCCGCATTGAGCGCACGCGTAGCACAGCGCTTGCATAGCCGCAGCAGCCCGGCACCGTCGCACGGATGCTCCGCGCGCGCCTGCTCGGCGCCGCGACCGCCACGGCGCTCACCGCGAAGACGGCGCAGAGCTTCTTCGGCGGCGACCCGACGCCGCCGCCGCACGCCGGCCCCGTCACCGCCGAGAGCGTCTTGATCTCCGCGCGGGCCATCGCCGCGGTGGCCAAGATCGGCTTCGTCTGCACGGCCGACCCCGGCGGCGGCGCGCCGCACTGCCGCGTCATGGACCTGCGCGGGCCGACCGACGACAGCCTGGCGATCACGCTCGTGACGCGCGCGACGACGCGCAAGGCCGGCGAGCTCGCGCGGGACGCGCGCTGCACCGTCGCGTTCCACGGCGGGAGCGCGCGCGCGGGCGGCGAGAACGGCTACCTCTCGCTCGGCGGGTCCGTGACGGCGCTCGCCGACCCCGCGGCGCGGCGCGCGGCGTGGAAGGAGAGCTGGACGCTCTTCCACACGGCGCCCGAGGTCCCCGACAGCGGCGTCGTCGTCTACGAGTTCGCGCCGGACGTCGTCGAGCTCGTCGACAACGACCGGTGGCTCCGCGGCGACTGGCGGCCCGTGACGCTGCGGCGGCGAGGCGGCGCGTGGGTCGTCGACGGCGGGTCGTAGGCGCGCGCGTGTGGTTATGCGGTCGCGGGTCGGGTCACGGCTTCGTCCGGCAGGCGCGGAGGGACGTGAGGGACGTGAGGAGCTGGGCGTAGATGAGGAGCTTGCCCGGCCCGAGCGCCGCGCGGGCGACGACGTGGAGGGACCAGGAGAGCAGGAAGACGGGCTCGTGGGCGCAGGACGCCTTGAGCGCCGCGAGGGCGTAGGCGACGACGAGGAGCTCCGAGCCGTCGAGCGCGAGGAGGAAGGACCGGGACCGCGCGGACTCGACGAAGAGGCCGAGCTGCACGAGGAAGCGGAGCAAAAAGACGGCGGCCTTCTTCGCCGCGGCGGCCGCGGCGTCGTCGGGCGCGCGGGGGCCGTCGCCGGCGTCGCCGCCGGGCGCGGCGCCGGCCAGCGCCGCGGGCCGCGCCGCGCGGCCCGCGGCGCGGAGGCCCGCGAGGCGCTTCGACGAGCCCCGCCGCGGCGGCGGCGCCGCCGGCTGCGGGGCCGCGCCGGCGTCGACGGGCAGCGCCGGGAGCACGGCGAAGAGGAAGACGTTCCAGAGCGCCGCGGCGCTCCAGTATGGCAGGCTCTCGAAGAACGCGTAGTCGACCCACCGGACCACGAACGGGAAGAGGAGGCAGAGCGTGACCGCGGGCCGCTGGCCCAGCTCCCCAAAGGCCGACGCGTGGGCGCCGAGCAGGCCCCGCACGCCGTCGTCGAGCGCCGTCGACGCGCGCTCCGCGGAGACCGCGGGCGACATCCGCGCGAGCGTCTCCGCCCACGCCGACGGGCTCGCGGGCGCGCCGCGCGCGTTTGCCTTCGCCGGCTTCTTCGCCGCGGGCGGCGGCGCGGCCTTGGGCGCGCGCGCCGCCGTCGGCGGCGGCGGCGGCGCGCCCTCGAGGCCCGGGGGCTTCGCCGCGGGCGTCGCCGGCGCCGGCGCGTCGGGCCCGTCCGCGGCCGCCGCTGCGCCGTCCGGGGCCGCGGGCTTCGGCGCCTTCCGCGGCTCGGCGGCCTTCTTCGCCGCCGGCGCCTTCTTCGCCGCCGCGGGCTTGTCCTTGGCCCCCGGGGGCGGCGAGTTCGACTCGCGCGGCTGCTGCCGCGCGGCCTCGCCGGAAGCGCCGGAAGCGCCGTCGCGGCCGGGCCGCGCCGCGGCCTTGGCGGGCGCCGCCGGGGCCTTCTTCGCCGGCTCGGCCTTCTTCGCCGCCTTGGCCTCGGCGGCCCTGGGCGCCGCCTTGGGCGCCGGCGGCGCCGCCGCCGCCGCGGCCTTCTTGTCCCGCTTCTCGCGCGGCGCCGGCGCCTTCGCGTCCAGCTTCGGCTTCTCCCCCGCCTTCTTCGGCGCCTTGCCCTTGTCCGCGTGCTTGCCCGGCTTCGCCGGCGCCGCGCCGCGGGCCGCGCCCGGCGCCGGGTTCGGGGGCCGCGGCGACGGCGCGGGCTCCGGCTTCGCGCGGCGCGGCGGCGGCGCGCCCGGCGGCGCCGCGGGCCAGGACGGGCCGGCGCCGGGGCCGTCGCGGAGCCAGGAGGGCCGCGGGTCGTCGCTCCTCGGGGGCCGCGCGAGCGCCCGCAGCGCGGCCGCGGCGGACGACGGCGGCGCGTCCCCGCCCCACGCGCCCTC